CATGGTTGTTTTATATGTAGAGCCAAAACGGCACAAAATAATGGCACATGACCAAAGTTACAGAGTATGTTTATAAATTAATAGTTTTTATGCTGTATGTGAAAAAAGATGGAGATTTGACTTCAGTTCAATTTAAATTATCATCTTGAAATAAAATTTCAGCTCTTTTTTATTTCATCCCTTCATCAAATTTAATTTCTCTTTCACAAATGCAGTGTTTGCTCTTTTCAGCTGATTTTCTGCTTTCATGCTCACAATTTATCTAACATGACGTCTTCTTCGCCTAAGTTTTATTTCTGATTTAAAAAAAAGGATATTCTTTCACCAGCTAGTGCAATTTTTTTACTGCACATCTGGGTTTGTGAATCTGCAGGCCATTGAGCTTTTATTGCATGGGCAAAAATTTGTAGTCATTAAGCTTGTATCAAGTACTGTTTCTCATTGCTTTCGTCGCAAGAACATTTGCCTTAGAATTTAAGCTGTTTATGTGGAATTTTAGGTGTCCAAAATGCTACACCTGCACCGCTACAGCCATTCTCACTTCCAACATTTACCTTGAGGCCGGATGCATTGTTCCAGAATTTCCTTAGTGGAATCTTCGGTAACCAACAACAGGTATCTTAAATCAGTCCTTTCTAACTTTTCTGTATAAAAATGAACAGAGTATTTTCGTCCTCCAAACTACTCTCATTAATCGCATTATGAGCAAACCGAAAGTGGATTGAATTCCTTGTTTTCACCACCTTCCTTGAAGGGCTTTTGAACTCTTCCAGCCCTTCCTGTCCACTGCCAAAACAGCAAGCCAATTTATTTTTGTTCTAGTTCAGAAGAACAGCGTCTAGTAGCTGAAAAACCACTTTAAATTAGAATTTGAAATACAAATCTTTGATACCAGTTCAAGCGATATCCTGAAAGGGACCGGGGTGGAGCAGAGGCGTGAGAGAAGAAGAAAGGGGGAAGGACTGGGTTTCTGTGACCTCCGGAGAGATTCGATGCCTTTCATACGAATTTGTCATCCTAATTCTCAATTTTTGCAATATCCGTAGCATAAGTTTTTTTACTGTTGCACTTGTGAATACTTACTAGAATTTAACGTTACCTGTACTCTGATTCGAAGGACCTAGCAAAACCGCGCGCGACATGTTGGGAGCATTTTCCAGTAACATTACTAGCATGGAATAGTCACACTGAGGCTGTTTAGCATTACTGAATTAAGGTAGTTCCGATTTTGTCATTGAAATTTTCCAGGTGACTGCGGCTCCGTTTTTCCCTACAGTTGCTTTAGCTCGTGGTGCAAAAACACTTCGAGTGCAAAAACCTATTGACACTCATCAGCCTGCGACTTAGCAGCTAAACATAATTCGAATAGTGATTTCTGGTAAGCCATTTCTGCACTTTTTCACTCTTTTTGTTATCAGAGACAAAAAGTACGTTACCAAAACGTTATTACTGTTTTGATCGGCTCTAGAATTGGCTTTATGAGATTTTCGTTTGTTTTTTTGCCTTATCTAATCAGTTTCTTTTTCTCATTTCT